CTCTCTCTCTCTCTCAAACACACACCCCAACGGTAGCACACACATATACACACACTTGAATTGGTAAATGCCTGACAGCCACACCGCAGAGCGCCGCCGCAGTCCGGCGTCGTTCACCGCTCGTTGTTACCATGTATATTTATGTCCATATCTTGTATATTATTAGAAGATATATTCTAGGGATAATTAGGATCTTGTATTAGGTAGTTTCCATATTCTTCATGTAATTGTGGTTATATATTTTGGGGCTAATGAGTATTCACGATCATCACGATTTGGGGATGAATCGGTTTTCCCAATATTCTCTTGTCATGGCATCAGAGCCATTTTTCCTCTCCTTTCTCTTATGATTTTTCTCCCGATCTCTCCTTGAGAAACTGTTACAATCAAACTTCTTCTGTTCCTTCTTCTGTCTGCTACGGTCATTAAAAAAAAAAAAAACAACTTCTTCTCTGTTTTGCTGCGGTAATCCAAAAATAAAAAAGAAAGAAGAGGATGGCAGACTCTAGTACGTCGAGTACAACACAAGAAAAAGAAATTGTCAACCGCCGGTCCATCTCCCCCTACGACATCTCTTCTTCCGATAATCCCGACTTGTTGATCACTCACGTCCAATTGAAGGGCGATACAAATTATGAGGAATGGGCTCGCAGTTTGCGGACAGCCCTTGGTGCTCGAAAGAAATTCGGATTTCTCGATGGTTCTATTCCTCGGCCTCAGCCGGGGACTGATCTATATGAAGATTGGCTTGCGAACAACCACTTATTGCTCTGTTGGGTCATGAATAGTATCGAACCGACGGTTCGATCAACAATTTCTCAACCTGATTTTGTTCTCGATCTATGGCTGGCCCTTCGGGAGCGATACACTACTGTCAACGGCCCCTGCATTCAACAATTGAAGGTCGACTTATCCGGATGCAAACAAGCGGGCAGTAGCATCGAGAACTACTATGGTCGGATGACAAAATTTTGGGACGAACTTGCAGGTTATGAAAGATCTCCGGCATGCCGTTGTGCTGGGTGCAAGTGCGACCTTCAGACCGAGTGGAACAGACGAAGGGAAGACGAGAAGGTCCATCAGTTTCTCATGGGTTTGGATGGGTCCTTGTACGGCTCGACACGTTCACAACTGAGTTTAAGTACTGAAAGTTTAGCGGAATCAAAGCGTGGCAAAACATATATATACATATCCACAAAAATAACCTGAACTGCCCGCCAGCTCACTCCTCGTCCCCGAC